CGGTTCAGCGAGGAGGTGGAGATGCTGAAGGGGCTGCAGCATCCCAACATCGTCCGCTTCTATGACTCCTGGAAGTCGTCCGTCAAAGGCCAGATCTGCATCGTGCTGGTCACAGAGCTCATGACGTCTGGCACCCTGAAAACGTGAGCAGGGACCACCAGGTCGGGGTGCACAAGGGAGGGGACGGGGTCGCTGCGGTGACGGGGAGGTGAGGGACACGTCTGCACCCCCTGCCTGGTCACTTGATGTGGGCGTTTGGGTGGGGATGACGGGCTGTGGTGGGCTCGGATGGGATCTGGGTGGATGGTGGGGCAGGGCTGGGAGCTGGAGACAGAAATCAGGGGTGGCTGCTGGATGTTTGGAGACCCAGGACCTTCACTGACACCATCCTGCAGTGACGGTGCTGAGCGGGGTGGCAGCAGTGGCCACTTGCCCCGGCTGGCTCCTGGCACCGGCGGCTCAGGGAGCTCGGCTCCTCCTGGGCTGTGTTTTCTGTGCTGCCCGTGCAGAGCCCCGCCGGGGAGGGGACCGGGAGCCCCTACTCCAAGACGTTCTTTGCCACTTTCCCTGCATGGACACCCGCTTCTGGACGGGCTCGGCGTGGCGGTGGGAGAAGGGTGGGCTGGGGCTGGGGCCGGGGTGTGGGACTGAGCCCCAGGGGTCCCCCGGCAGCTACCTGAAGCGGTTCAAGGAGATGAAGCTGAAGGTGCTGCAGCGCTGGAGCCGACAGATCCTCAAGGGGCTGCATTTCCTGCACACCCGCTCGCCCCCCATCATCCACCGCGACCTCAAGTGCGACAACATCTTCATCACGGGCCCCACCGGCTCGGTCAAGATCGGGGACCTGGGCCTGGCCACGCTCAAGCGAGCCTCCTTCGCCAAAAGCGTCATAGGTGGGGTCCCGGTGCAGCTGGGCTTGCGGCTGCCCGGCGGTGGCTGCGGGTGGGTCGGCGCCCCGGGGGTGCTGAGCCCCGCTGCTGCCCCCAGGCACCCCCGAGTTCATGGCGCCGGAGATGTACGAGGAGAAGTACGACGAGGCAGTGGACGTCTACGCCTTCGGGATGTGCATGCTGGAGATGGCCACCTCAGAGTACCCCTACTCCGAGTGCCAGAACGCTGCCCAGATCTACCGCAAGGTCACCTCGGTGAGTGGCCCCGGCCCCCGGGCTGGCGGCAGTGCTGCTGGCGGGTGCCGTGGGCATGGGAGCCGGGCTGAGCGGGCTGGGGGGCCGGTTGGATGGAGCTGTCGGGCCTCGCTGCTCCCCAGAATGTGTCACCGTGCAGGTTGTGCAAGCAGCTAAAAATAATCTGGGTAGTGAGAAGGTGCCGTGCCAGGGCGCAGAGCCCACGGAGGGTGGGGGGGCCACAGCTTGGCCAGACCCCACGTCCCTCGCCCCACGCCAGGTGCTGCCAGCACATTAATGGGGTGGAACGGGAGCGGGTCAGCTCAGCCACCCCCTGCCTGGGGCACTGCGGCTGCCCCCGCCGGCTCTGGCTGGCTCCTGGCTGCCCCCGCCCCAGCCGGTTCTGGCTGGCTCCTGTCTGCTCCTGCTTGCTGGGGTGGAAACCCGGAGCCCCAGGGCGTCCTGGCCCCGGCTGCCCGTGCAGGCACGCGTGGCCTGGCCGTAGGAGCTGTGGCTGGGCTGGTGGGGCCCTGGGCTGGGAGCCCTGTCCCCACGTGTCCCCTGCTGCCGGCGGGGCCGTGCCTGGGGGCACGGGGGGCTGTGGGGCCACGGCTGCCCGGGGAGCGTCCAGCGGCCCCATGGCCCCGCAGAGCCTGGGTTCAGCTCCGGGCCCTGGAAACCTGGCGCTGTGGCAGGGTCTGGCACAAGAGGTGCTGATGCCCGTCGCCCCCAGGGCCTGAAGCCCAGCAGCTTCTACAAGGTGAAGGTTCCAGAGCTGAAGGAGATCATCGAGGGCTGCATCCGCATGGACAAGAACGAGAGGTGGGGGAGAGCGGGGAGCGGGGGCCTGGGCGGCAGAGCCCCCCCAGTCCCTGGCCCCGCACTGAGCTGTGCTGCCTGCAGGTACACCATCCAGGACCTGCTGGAGCACTCCTTCTTCCAGGAGGACACGGGGGTGCACGTGGAGCTGGCCGAGGAGGACGATGGCGTCAAGTCTGGGCTCAAGCTCTGGCTGCGCATGGACGACACGAAGAAGCTGCACGGCAAGTACAAGGACAACAACGCCATCGAGTTCCTCTTCGAGCTCTACAAGGACGTGGCAGAGGAGGTGGCCCAGGAGATGGTGGGTGCTGGGACAGAGGGACCCTGAGTGCCGTGGGTTCCCTGCGCCCCGACGTGACGAGCCCCCTCCCATGCAGGTGGTCCTGGGCTTCGTCTGCGAGGCAGACTACAAGCTGGTGGCCAAGGCGGTGCGGGACCGCGTGGTCGCCATCAAGCGCAAGCGGGAGAAGCTGAAGCGCGCCCAGGACGCGCCATCGCCTGCGGAGCCGGAGCAGCCGCCCGGCGTCCTGCGGCTGCTGGAGGAGCTCAAGTCCCCGCTGCCACCCGGCGCGCCTGCCCCGGCCACCCCCGGCTCTGGGGACTCCGTCTTCAGCAGCACCTTCCCCCCGGAGCCCGAGGAGCCAGAGGCTGACCAGCACCAGCACTTCGCCTACCGGCACACCAGCTACTCCTCAGCCACCTGTGCGTGGGCACCGGGCGGGGAGACAGCAGGGTGACCCAGGGCGGGAGGCGGGTGGGGGGGTCCCTCCCCAGCTCCAGCCATGCCGTGCACCCAGCCCCAAAGCCGTGTCCTGGGGGTGCAAGCTGGGGAGGGGGCTCCAGCTCTGGCCGTGCTCATGCGAGCGCTCCTCCGCAGCTGACTGCGAGACGGATGGCTACCTGAGCTCCTCCGGCTTCCTGGACTCCCCGGACCCAGCCCATCGCAGCTTCTTGGCGGGGGGGCCCGCCACGCCACTCACCCGCCCTGTGCGCTGCTTCCCCACGGTGAGCGGGGCCCCACGGGGCTGGGGGTCGGGGTGGCCATGACGCGCCCCGGCTCACACGGTCCTTTCCCTGCAGAGCATCGCGGTGCAGCTGCCCAGCGAGTGCCTCCCCCCCACCAGCGGCTCCCCCCCCCCCTCCAGCACTGGGGCTTCCTTCAGCTACGCCTCAGATGTGGCGTCCGGCATGAGCGACGGCTACGAGGGGCTCTCGGCCAGTGAGCGGAGCGCCAAGCTGCCGCCCAAGCGGGCATCAGGGAAGCTGCTGCGGCGCCGAGCCCGGTCCAGGCTGCGCATCACCAACGTGAGTGCCGCGGGCGCCGGGCGGGCGGGTGGGCGCTCCCCGAGCTGAGCTGGCCCTGCTGCCCACAGATCTCCGACAAGAACGACCGGGTGGTGGAGTGCCAGCTGCAGACCTACAACAACAAGATGGTGACCTTCAAGTTCGACTTGGACGGCGACAACCCGGAGGAAATTGCAGCCGTCATGGTGAGTGCAGGGCAGGGGTGAGGGCAGGGGCCTGCCCGTCCGTGCCGGGTGCTGACGGGCCCCTCCGCCCCCAGGTCCACAACGAGTTCATCCTCAAGTCAGAGCGGGACGGCTTCATCCACCGCATCCGGGACATCATCCACCGTGTGGAGACCCTGCTCCGCAAAGACGGGCACGGTGCCGCCGAGCTGCCCAAGAGCCCCGAGGCTGAGCATGGCGTGGGCAGCCCTGTGAGTGCCCAGCCAACCGTGGGGAAGCCGCTGACGCTGAGCGTGGCTGGGGGTGCTGCCTGGCCCCGGGGAGCCCAGCGGGGAGGGGGTCGGGGTGCAGGGCACCCTGTGAGTGCCCAGCTCTGGGCAGGAGCAGCCCTGTGCCTGCAGCTCTGGGTTACTCGCCCGCTCCTGTGATGGGTCGTGGGCCCCCCCCCCAGTGCCCCCAGTGGAGCTGCCAGCTCCTGTCCTCGCACACAGTGGGGCTGGGATGGGGGCCAGCGGCGGCTCTGCTCAGCCTGTCCGGGGTCTCTGCCCTGGTGCTGGGCTCAGCCACATCCCCCTCGGCAGGTGGACCTGCAGCTGCAGGAGCTCTCGCGCTCCATCTCCTCTTCGTCCTCGCTCAGCGGTATGTCTCTGCCTTGTGCGGGCCCTTCCTGCCCCCCCCCCCAGCCCCGTGCAGGGTGGGTGACAGCCCTGGCTGAGCCCAGGGGGTCCTGCCGGGCACGTCCTGCCTCAGCTGAGTGTTGGCTGTCACCCCTGTGCCGCAGACCTGGGATGCACTAGTCCCAGCCTCTCGGTCCAGTCCCCTGTCCTGCCATCGCTGAGCAGCTCCCCGTTGGAGAGCCTTGCCAGCCCCGCAGAGCTGCTGCCAGCCCCAGCCCGTGAGCCGCGGCCAACGCTGCTGGGCTCCCCTGCAGGTACCAGCCCTGGCAAGGCCAGGCACGTCCGTCCCTCCGGGGCTGCCAGCCGCAGCCTGTGCAGCTGCCGTGCCTTGCCGGGTGCCTCGCCGGCACGAGGCTCGGAGCTACCTGGGCGAGGGGTGGAGGGGACTCACGGGGTCAGGGCTGCTCCCGACACTCCTCTCTCCGCAGGCTCTGTGCAGACCTGGCCCCTCGTCTCGACAGCTCCCTCCTGGCTGACGGCGCCGCTGGCGTTCCCGCAGACCCCCCCGAGCACCCCGGAGGGGCCTGTCCCACCAGCCCTGCCCCCAGCCCTCCTGTCCCCGCTGCCGCTCCCCACATCCCCTGTCCCCAGCGAGCCTGGCAGCCCCCTGAGCCCCCCTGTGACCAGCACGTCCTGGTCCCCCACTGCCCCCCTCCTGTCCCTGGCCAACGTCTTCTCCCTGGCAGTGATGAGCGTGGCCCACACGCTGCTGCCTGCCGTCTCCTCTATCGCCAGCTCGGGCGCGCACCTCTACCCCCCACTGCTGCCGCGGCCGCAGAGCCTTGTCCTGGGGCCCCCGCGCTTCGTCTACCCTGACCCTGCCAGCATGGCCACGCCAGCCCCGGCCTGCAGTGGGACCCTGGAGTCAGCGGGGGCTGATGTCCCCACTGCTGGGGGGCCCATGCCGTGCCCCCCAGGCAGCGAGGCTGCAGGGAGCGCCCCGCCAGCGCTGACCACGTCCACGCCGGGGAGCCCGGAGGGCAGCACGGTGAGTACGGGGGTGGCAGGGGCTCCCTGGGGCCGCTTGAGGTGAGGCTCAGCACCAGGGGGGCCAGGCTGTCGCTGCAGATGCTGCCCTGGGATGGGACAGGGAGCTCCGTGGCGTGGGGAGCCCGTGGGGTGCAGGGAGGGCCGAGCGGGCGGTGGGTCCCGGGAGCAGCAGCGGGGCGGGGAGATGTGGGGGGACCCGGGGCGGGGTGGCTGACGGCACCCAAGTGCCTGCAGGTGCTGCCCGGCTCCCCCAAGCCCAGCCACCCGCTCATCGTCTCGGAGTCGCCAGCCCTCGGCGTGCCCAAGGCCCAGCTCTCGCCCATCAACGAAGGTGAGGTGGGGAAGGGCCGAGGCTGCGCCGCGTGGCTGTGTCTGCGCTGGGGCACTGCGACGTCCCCCATGTGCCCCGTGCCCCACTGACTGCTGCTGTCCCCGCAGAAGCCAAGCCCCAGATCCTTGGCCGGTTCCAGGTGACGCCAACCAAAGACCTGGCCGTGGCCTCCGCAGCGCCGGGCAGCAGCGAGGGCAGCAGCGAGGGTGAGCAGCACGGTGCGGAGCTGGCAGCAAGCGGCTCCCCCCTGCCCACGGCCCCCGACACAGGGGGGCGGTCGCGCCGGGAGCCCGGCTCAGGGGCGGGG